AGCTGCCAATGTCCTCTTGTAACAAGTTCAGAAACCACTTCCAGTTTTTTTAGTCTCACTGTCAACCACTATAAGCAATGACATAAAAGCTCTTGTTTGCATCCTCTCCCACCGTACTCAAGAGCTGTTCCCCATAGTATCCTTTTAAGAAACACTCATCCAGGCCAATCAATGGCCTACAATCAGCTTTGAACCCTTTCTTACAAGCATCAAGACAATATATACAATTTAGAAAAAATAGGTGGCCTTTCAGGTATAGGCTGTGGTATTACTTGCATCTGGCAAGTGGAGCCAGGATTGCTTCTCAAAAGCTCAGCTAGGTAGTCCCTTAACTTGGCATACTGTTCCTTCTCACATCCTTCTATTCTGCCCTTGCCTTTACTCAGTTCCTTGGTCATTTTCTTGAGATGTACATGGACCTTGTACTCCTCTTTTAAATGCTCATAAGCTTCAACCCTTGTCATGTTGGGCTGTGTAACCAGCCTTTTCTCCAACTTTTTTGCAACTCAATCCCTGCTGGCCCTTTTATTTTTAAAAAATCTGCAGCACGAATGTGAATTGTAACACCCCGTATATATCCGGCAATGTTATCATAATATTGTATTAAGTTGCGCTTAATTAAAAATGCGAAATTACTTTTTCTTTTCAATTATGATGCCATTAACATTACCAACTTGCTTAATAATCAATTAATAAAACATCGCCTGTATGTAATTGCAATAAGACAGCTAACTAAAATACCTCATAACATAGATAATAGGAATGTGGCTTTAGTCACGGAACTACAACAAAGTAGACCGGACCATCTAACAGTTTATACAACTCCAATCTAAAAGTACTAACAGAAAGTGTCATGGACAATCCCCATGCTCACTCAAATAAGGCAACATGCCCAACATCAGTCTCAACAACAACATAACGTAAATAGCGGAAAACATAAACAGCATCCAAATCCAGTCATGCTAACATAAAGCAGTAAAACATAATCAGCTAAGCTCCGGCCTCCTGCCGCCTGAGGCATCAGTACTCATACTACCTGATCCTGAAATAAGCATTCCCCAAACGTGGGGTAAGATCTCTAATCTAGAAATCTCAGTAAGTCAGTGAGTCCTCAAGGATCTTCCACCCCAAGCTCACTTACATGTGCAATATAAGTTCAAAAGCAGTTTATCATTTATCATTTCTAAAACAATGCAATGCAACAGATAATCATGCCATGTGTGTCAATACTAATCTACTGGCCAGAGACAGTGCAAGTATACGTCTATCACCTACACACCGTGCAAGTACCACTTGCATTCACCCCGGTACACCGTCTTGTATGGCGCTACATACTCAGGCTTCCCGTCAAGATGAAACAACACATGCATATTAAAAGCCATTACATGTAAAGTTCAATCAACATATCAAATATCCAAAAGCATGTACACAACATGCATAAACCATACCCCCATGGGACATGGTGGAACCACAACATGGCTAAACTGAGGACACGAAAGCTTACCTCTAAGCTAGCTATCCAATGCCACAAGCTCAAAGTCCAATCACAGCAGATCACAATCTGATATGGACCAAATATAAATCAATAACATGTACCACATGCATACAAATTAAAGACAACGCCTTTTCATTACGCTTTACGTCTTAAGGCTTCTCACCAAGCCATAAGCCCTTAATCACTTGATTCTGACTTAGTTTAATTAAAACAGAAGTTCAACTTCATCAATCTAGGGTCCACAAACCCCCAATAGCCTACTGTACGCACAACACAACTACTGTTCTACGAAATCCCAGAATATCCGGATATTCCTCAGGACCATATCCGGATATGCAATATCCGGATATCTCACTGGACATATCCGGATATGCAATCTCCAGATATCCAGAATCCCATATCCGGATATCTGATATCCGGATGCTCAAAATCCATATCCGGATATCACATATCCGGATATTCCTCGGGCACATATCCGGATATTTCACGACAGAATGCAGAAGATACATGTCGTGAAGATATCCATCCAAGGTTGGGTTTTTTAACGATTTAAAGCACCTAAACATGCATTTCTACGTGTGTTCAACATTACCCAACAACAAGTTATCATCTTTAAGCCTTAACATGCATCAAGCTTTCCTTTTTAAGCATTAAACTCATGATCAAAGGTTGGTACACATACCCCAGCTCAAAACAGAAGAAGAGGTTGCTCTTTGGAGCTCACAATCAGCCCCTCAAGACTGACTCAACAAGGTGCACGAAAATGGATCAACAAGCTTGGACCTTTCAACACAAAGGAAGCTTCTTGGACCTCACAATGCCAAAACAAAGGCTCCCACAAACAACCAACCCAAGTCAGCCTCAAAACCTCACACACAACAGCTCTCTCAACTCAGAAAAGACCAGCAATGGAGTCCCAAAGCTAGCTCTCACCCTCACCAAGTGTCTCCCAAATGAAAGTGTGAAGAAAATCAAGAAAGGAAGTGTCTTGGACCCAAAATGGAGAAGAAATCCCAAGGAGCAGCCAAGCTGATCAGCCACCCTCACACACTCACGTAGAGAAAGTAATATGGCCTAGGGTTTAGTGCCCACTAAAGCTTATATAATGGTTTAACAATTAAACATACAGTATTAACTTCAATTGCTACTCTTAGTATTTTAATCCCAAACTTTGGAATCTGAAACTACACATTTTTCCAAGAATTAACATATTTTTCTTATAATTTTCTGAGCATCTTTTCGGTACGCGCTTTTTCAAAGCCAGTACCGGTTTCCAGCACCAGTTCTCATTATCTGGACTTGAAACTCGTTTTACAAGTCCTACATATCATTCTAGTAATTATCATATACTTATTATAATTTTCTGGGATACTTTTTCGGTACGCATTTATACCGACTAGCAGAACCGGTATCTGCACTTTTCTTCCGAAAAACGACTTTCAGCATTATTACTCACTATAATTATTAAAGCCTCTTAATAATTACTAGAGTCAATTATGGAATCATTTCCTAATTTTGCATAATTAATTAATTAAATACCTTAATTAACGGTGCAGGTTCTTACATGAATCATTGAATGTCTTCACTTGGAAACTATTGAATTTGTTGTTCCAGGCACAATATATCATCTACTCACAGTCTTCATTTGAGCATTTGACTCTTGCTCTTACCTTGTCATTTTTAACCCACTTAAATTGTTTCCCAAGACTTATATTATAGTCTTTAACACCATTTTTAAAGTGCTCTAAACTGATAAACTCCATTCCAAGCTCAAGTTGGACATGACCAAAAGTATTATCTGCATTAAACTTCGGAAACACAGCCTTTTCAACCTCCTCATCCCCACTTGAAGGAGGAGTCTTCAGCTCTTCAGAATTATAACCATACCCTTGCTCTTCAAATGACATATTCTGCTCATCCTCTTCCAAGTTTTCTTCCCTGTCATGCTGGTTAACTGTCTTTTTTTTTCTTTCCTTTCACCCTTTTTTCCAATGAAATAAGTGGCTCATCATGTTCATCCTCTGTTTCGTCCTCATAACCCGGTGGAAGAGGCTTATATGGCTCATCTTCTACACTGTCATATGAATCACTTGACAGTCCATTGCCCTCTCCATCTTCATATTCATTTGCAGAAGTCATATGGAAGTCACATGAACTGCCAACTGAATCACCTAACACCCCCTCCTCATCAGCACTTTGAGGTACAAACCCATCACTCCCTTCTGCAGGTCCAGCCACAATGTCAGGAGCTGCAATGCAATCTCCGAAATAAATTTCTACCTTGTTCCCATTACCCAAGGAAGCCTTAACCATTTCCAAAACGTCTGAGTTCTTTTCAAGAAGACATAACTCAACCTCTAAATCACTCTCAGTAGGCTTAAGCCACCACATCTGTCTATATTTTTTTATAACCATACCCCTTGAACAGAGCTTTAAGGTCACGAAGGTTGACATAGTCTGCATCCATCTCAGGTAAATCATCCATTCTCCCATTTACATAAGTAAGCTTTCCTTCATCATTCCTAACCAACACACCCCCATGATGATATCTTATAACTATATATTCGTCCATCTGCATAGAAAACACAACACAAACATTTTTTACACTACCATTGCATCATTTTACAGTATCATCAAACCAATCATGATTTATCAATATTACAATAATACTGTAACAGTCAGGGACAACCACTTAGAGATTTTTTAAATGGCCATGACGTCTATTGCTAAAAACTCGGGTCCACAAAACATTACACATAGCAAATATAAAACACGAAAAGGGGACCATATGCAACAAGTTCCGTACAAAATAAAACCCTAACAATATCTTTACCAGGTACCGCATGGGGGAAAACATTAAACAAAAAACAATTACTCATTCACAAGGGGGACCACAGATAATAAAGAAATGACTTGTTCCACGTACCTTGTTCGAATGTGACCACACTCACAACCGTATTTCTGATGTTGACCAAATAACCACACTACTTCAAAATCCTTGCAATTGCAGAGGAGATGTTGACCCACAACCCACCGTTCCTCACAACTTTCACCGAAAATGTAGCTCACGACCAGAGGAAAAAGAAGGGGGGGGGGGGGGGGGGGGGGTAGAAGTTATTTGTTGTTGTCTGAGTGTGTTAATTAAGTTAAGACCAAAGTGGAAGATTTCTCCTATACAAAAACAACGTCGTCCGCTTCTAGTTACAGCTACTACACTCCGCATATTCACAATGACGTAGTTTCTTTCATCCAACGTGGCTTGTGATGTTAGTGACTCAGCAAATTAACATTCCACGTGTGCTCCGTTAGTTAGGCCGTTGGATGCCAACTAACAGAAGGACAAACATGACACTATTTTTTCTAAAATTAAGGACTAAATTAAGCCTTTTTTAGTGTTGGGACCAAAAAAGCCTTCGAAAAAATTAAAATTGTCAGTGACGAAAAATAATATTTAGTCTATTATATACTATCTGTGTAATATTTTATAAGCGTTTGTAAAGATTGAATTTCTATTCTCTAAATTTTAATTGCCTTCTCGGAGCGCCCAACGAGCACATTCTGACTTCTGAGGAAGAAAGTAAGTCTTTTTTTCAAATATATATTATTTTTAAAATTTGTGATTTAGCCATGCAATAGGTCTCAATTTCACAGTTGAGCAGGCAACACAACTCGACTCTCTCAGTTTCCAATCCCACCGGCCACCGCGACGGCGCCACCCTGTAACCGCTGTGAGCTTCTCTCTCTCTCTCTCTCTCTCGCACTTTTATTTATTTCTGGTTCTGTGTTATTGATATGTATCCTGTAGGAGAGACTCATCTTCCAAAATATTTGGTCACAATTATCTTCAAATAAAATTTCCTAAGCCTAAATGATTGTTGACCAGATCTTCAGGTTTCCACGTTTGAATTATTTTGCTTGCATATGGGGAACAACCCTCTTCTACAAGTTATAGGCTAAGGCATGAGGGATTCTAGCAATGTCTTCCGAATTATGATTCCCTACCTATTACAAGACCTGTGTCTGAATGTTCCATAGAATTGGATACTTATTGAATGCTAAAACAGATTTCTTGAGACCAGCCCCCACTTTTTGTAAGCATTTAATTTCAACAACCATTTTCCTCTGATAAGCCTTGACAATAAGTCACTCTCGAGGGTCCTTTCATGCCCCATTTGACGCCTTCCACAAATTTTCCTTGTTTCATTATGCTGCACCTGAATTAAATATATAGCGGTTAATATATATCACCAATTAAGTTTATCACTTATTACCACATTTTTTACAACAGTTAGATAATAGTAACTAAAACATGATGGCAAAAGGAAGTTGAGAGAGAGAGAGAGTGGAGGAGATTATGGAAGAGAGAGAGTAAAATTTATATCAAATGATAACTGATTTCATCAATGGTTATAATAGAGGTACTAAGAGGTGGTAAACTTAGTTGGTGGTAAGTATAATCTCTCCCATATATATAAATATATATATTTATGTATTTTGATTTTGTCTTGGACACTCTTTTTTCTGCTTTGTTATTGAATTCAATTATAAAACTTGACAACTGGGAATTTTTATCCTAGTCATTAATTACCCTTCTAAGTTAAATTATTCTACTAATATAATGTTGACTGGACATTATTCATCTTCGCTTCTGGTTATCCTAATTAAACAAATCTACAATGTTTCTTTACAAAATATCAACTCTGATATTCCCTAGTGATATAGTGGTGCTTAATTATATCAATGATTTGATTGATGTTTCATAAATTCTCTTTCTTACAAGATTGCTCATTGATGGACCCATGTCCGTACCATTTTTTGTGAGTTTCTTATCAACTTAATTTATTCTCCCATTCTTCTTATTTTTGTTTTTTGGGATTTTCAGAATTCACCTTGGGAAGGATCTTAATTGCACCATTTTGGGAAAGAGATTGCTGCTTGAGATCCAAGAGTATGTTCTCCTGTTACTTATTTTTTACTTTGCTCCACTCTGTTCATGGTTATTTTGTTATATTGGTAAAAACATGATGCAATTCAAATTCATTACAACTTATTGGCTTGGGCAAAGAACTTTTTTGAAACACAAGCTAAGCCCAAACATTGTCTTTTTGAGTTTTCAAAAAAGGATGTCCTTACAAATTGCCACCCCCCATTGATTATCTTACTTGTTTACTTACATTGCCACATAAATATATATTGGAGCTTTGAAGCGAAACGAATTAAACCTCCATCAATCATGAAACAAGATGTTGCACAAGATAACACCAACTCATATCCAAAGAAATCAATCCCCCCCTACATGAAGGCAATCTCTGGCTCGCTTGGAGGGATTGTGGAGGCTTCTTGCCTGCAACCTATTGATGTGATCAAGACCAGATTGCAGCTTGATCGGTCAGGGAATTACAAGGGAATAGTCCATTGTGGTGCCACAATATCACAAACAGAAGGGGTGAGGGCTTTATGGAAGGGGTTGACACCTTTCGCCACACATTTGACCTTGAAGTATGCACTTAGAATGGGTTCAAATGCATTATTTCAATCAATGTTTAAGGACCCTGAGACTGGCAAGCTTAGCAGTCATGGGCGTCTCCTTTCTGGGTTTGGTGCTGGGGTGGTCGAGGCTGTTCTTATTGTCACGCCATTTGAGGTTTGGACATTTTATTTTGTTTGATATGCAATCAGCAGTCAGCAATTATTCTAGTAGACATATCCTATTATTAAGTTACATATGAACTAAACTTATTAATCAAGCAAAAATTATCCACGAGGAAAAATGCATACACATGCCATAAGACTGCTTTCTTCTGAAATAAATTGGTAGATATCATTCTTTGCAATTTCCAGCTTTAAGATTCGACTGAGAATTTGAAGAAACAGTCGTCAGTTGAGATTATGAAATATTTTTTATTGGCATATAATTATTGACTTTTTCCCAATCATTATGTTTTGTTGCTGAATTTAAATTTAACCGTGTACAAGTGAAAATTTTCATCCTCAACATTTCCCTTCTACCTAAAGTTTTCTGCTATAAGACGTTGACTAGAAATTCTTGGTTTGGGTTTCTACTTTCTAGATATCCTAGTTATATAAATTTATAATGTTTATTTATATCAGCTCTGATATTTTTAGTGGTTTAGATGATTGATTATATTTATGGTTTGATTGAATTCTTAGTTGTTATATTAAATTAGTTGACCACTGTCACTGTAGTCCTGTTAACCAAGCAATCCATCTCTACGCAAAGTATCTTCTTGACTTGCTTTATGCACTTTGATAACTGAAGGATTCGTTTTACACAGAACTACTCTTTTGTAAATATATTTACTCAGATATTCAAGAACTTATTATCTGCTTATGATCTGTAGCTGACAGCACCTAGTCGGATAAGACTTTGTTGTTGACTACTTGTTATTGTTGATAAGCTGTTCATAAGTCTTACTTTGAACCACACCTTTTTGTATTTGTGTCTATTAAATCGTAGTTATTTAGTCACAATAGTCATTTTCTGCTTGTAAACAGTATTAAGACCCTTGTTGATGATTTCTCTATGGTCTTTAATTGAAGGCTGGGATAAACTTTCTTCAACATAAGTTTAGCCAATCATTTTATTCCGATGGAGGCATATGGTATTTGGAATGACCAAGTTGTAGGACCTCAATGAAAATATTATAGATTTTATGCCACATAACTAAAATACTTCTCCAGATTGCATGGAGATTTTACCTAGGGGAAGTTTTCTCGTTAAAATGCCAAGCCAAGTTGATTGCTGGCTACAGTGAAAACTGATGAAATGTAGATGGAACTGAAATATGGGACAAATAGTCTGGTTATGGCTTTTGTTTATGGATACCAGGTGGGAACGTAGGAGAAAGAGAATGAAAAAAGAATTTCATTCCCTTCCTTGATGGGGTGAGAACTAAAAGGAAGCTTTCTTCATTCATTATTTAGATTTTTCTAGTGTATAGTAAGTATAAAATTAATAAAATCCACTATTGAGGGTTGGTTCAATTGGTAGGATCAAATAGCGTTAAAGAAAAGGTCTTGGGTTCGATTACCCCTGTTAAGACCTTATTAAGACTTGTGACATGTCCTGGCCTTTTAATAAGGCAACCTCCCCTCTCCTAAACTTTATTGCATAAAAAATGAAATAAAATAAAATCATGTTCTTGCTTATTTGCTTTACTTATTCTCATCAAATTATATATTTACTGCCAAATTTATCTGGATTGAGTTTGAAGCAAAGAGTTGTCTTTAAGAAATACGAAAATGGTACCAATCTCCACTTTCATTCCTCTCATTTGACTGTTAGACCTGGCAAGATCATTTTGTCATATTGCTTCTCATTTTCTTTACTTTCAAATTTACTCTATCCAGCTCGCCACCAATGAATGACGTATTGTATATTTTAATTGTACCTTAAGCCTCGTATTAGCTGGGGAATAACAAATCTTTAAAAAATTCCAATGAAAAATGACAGGTCTTATAAACTTGCTTGTTGAACGTGAAACAAGTTTATCTTCTTGTGTTGCAACTATAAGTACCTGCTGCTTGCTTTCTAGTTGCCTAGAACATTATTTTTTTTGGTATGAAAGTCACCAGATTAGAGGGTGAGCCTCGAATAGTGGTAAAATTGTTTCTATGTAACTGAAAGGTCACAAATTCGAATCCGAAAAATAGTCTCTCTGCATATATGCAAATATAAGACTGCGTATAAGGATTTCCCTCATTCCACCCTTGCTAGTCGGGATTTAATGGGAAATATATATATATATATATATATATATATATATTTACCAGATAGTGTGGCTATTCAGCATATAAAGTCAGCAAAATTTGTGCATAGTTTGTCTTTGGCATGTGGAGGTTGAAGTTTGTATTTTATGTCCTGTTCAGGTGGTGAAAATAAAATTGCAGCAGCAGAGAGGTCTAAGCCATGAGCTTTTGAAATATAAAGGTCCTGTGCATTGTGCTCGAATGATTGTAAAGGAAGAAGGACTTCGTGGGCTTTGGGCAGGAGTTACTCCTACGATAATGCGTAATGGGACAAATCAATCTGCCATGTTTACTGCCAAAAATGCTTTTGACGTGCTTTTATGGAAGAAACATGAAGGAGATGGGAAAGTCCTCCAACCATGGCAGTCTATGATTTCTGGATTCCTTGCAGGTACCGCAGGTCCTATTTGTACTGGTCCCTTTGATGTAGTGAAAACAAGGCTGATGGCTCAGAACCGAGTGGGGGGTGAACTGAAGTATAAGGGTATGATCCATGCCATCAGAACAATATATTCAGAAGAAGGACTTGTTGCCTTATGGAAAGGTCTGTTGCCTCGGCTCATGAGGATCCCTCCTGGACAGGCCATTATGTGGGCTGTGTCTGATCAAGTAATTGGTTTGTATGAGAGGAGATATCTTCAAATTTCAGCACCCTAGGTTTTTTTTGTCCTAACATTGTTTTGGCTTGCCCCAGAAACCAATTCATTCCAAGCTGTGGCGGAGCCACTTGGTTAGGTACCAGCTGATTTTCAAAAGATGCTATATATTTTCTTTAAAAATTATGGTATAGTCTTGATATTAGTTAAGTTTTTAAAAATAATATAACATTGGTATTAATTGGATTTTACTAGTTGGGTTTTTTTGGCACTGGCAGAGTCTTTTTCTTGGCTCTGCCACTTATTGCAAGCCTACAAAATCATCATTTTAGCCTGTGTCTACAATTGCAGTTAGAAGGAGCAGGACCGATGTGAATATCCAAGAAGCCTCCTACACTTAATAATCTAAAGATTCATTCAATTTGGAGATACAACTTGATTTTTGAGACTTATGTAAGAGAACTGACTCTAATATTTCGCAAAATAAATTATCATATTTGAAGTAAAAATAGTGTAAACCATCAGAAGGAAAGTCAAGAAATAAACAAAAGCACACTTGTTAATGGAATTGCTATAGACCAAAAAAGTTAGTTTTCAACAATAAAAATAAATTATTTTCTGCCAGCGCTCAAAATAATCTCCTAAATTACTGCTGATGATAATAATAATCTTTTTGGGAGCTCTGTTTGTACTTTGTATGGTCAATCATACTACAAGAATTGTGTCGTAATGGACAATAAAAATAAAAATGTAATTGAATTAATAAATTTCGTTGACATTTGTGGATCCTAATAACTTCTTAACTCACTTTAAGTGGTTACAAAATATACATTTAAACCTAGAAAGCATATTCATACTACTAGTTAAAAAATGTATGGTCAATCTGGCCAAGGACTTTGTCAAACAAAAGATAGGGATTACATCTAAGATAAAAGAAACAACATATTCATACTACTAATGATACCTCAAAACAATTAAAATTCAATTGCCTAATAATTTCATAGCTAAGGTTTCCAACTGTCTGAAGCAAGACTCACTAATATAAAACATAATTTTGGCGCATATGGGCTAATATGGCTAAACAAATAATGGAAGGTAAGAACTAAGAAGACTTGCTAGTTATTACCAAACAAATAAAGCATTTAACAACCCGTACTGAGCACAATGCCCCGAAGAAATAGAGATTATGATCCCTAAGTTGGATCATCTTAAGAGTTATTATTGATCACATATCAAATAGTACAATTGTCCTTATTTTTCATATATTTTTAATTAAGTGATTTAAATAGGGATTAATGCTTCTCTTACCACAAGAAATAACTTTATCTCCTCTAAATCTAAAATGATGTAATTTTGGGATTTAAAATTAAAATAAAGGATATTTTAATATAATTCATTATACAAAAGGAATGTGAAATTTACAAAATACCTGTACAAACGATGTCGTCAATGTTGAATAGGAATTCATAGTTACTCAACAAATAACACACAATATAAGAAGCATTATTGACACCTAAAATAAGAATGCAATCATATATTTCAGGTTACAAATCTTAGTTGACACAGGTGGCTTTTAAAGTAACTGTTTGTACTTTGTAGAACCTCGCTTTTATTTTTCACTCTCCATCTTTTCACACAACTATGGGCAGAGTTGAAGAAAGCATTATATCCTCCTTTATTGCTGTAGGTAGAATGTGTGTCATTTTAAAGGATGTAAAGTTGTGTCATTTTAAGAGAGAGAAAGAGATAGATAAAGAAGAAGAGAGAGTTGACAAAAAAAATAAAGGTGTGAGTCCCACCTCTTTTGTGAGAGTAAAATGATATAAGTTGTGTCATTTAAAAGGATAAATATTTTTCTCTATTGGTGTTAATTGATTAACTGTGGGACCCGGTAACACCCTCTCATTTTCATAATTCATATGAATCTCTTTTTTTCTTTCCCCCCAAGTGAGGGCTCATTTTAGGGGGTCAACTACTTGTTAAAAGACCTAATATTGGCACTAAGGTAACCAATGTAATGGACTGTTCTCTAGAATCTATTTTCGCCATTGACTTGGCCCCTGAAAATCATAAGTTTGAAGACCCTCATGGCCAGTGTCACGCACAAGCTTCCTCGCTTGTTGCAGACATGTCTTTCGTAGACTTTCTCATTTTTTGTTTGGCATAAGTATGGCAGTCAGTTAAGCCACTTTAGCTTTTGTGTGCACAAAAGTCATCAAAAGAATAGGTAGATTGGATTGGATGCTGCGGCAAATTTGGCACAGAGCTTCTATATCTATATATATATATATATATATATATACGGATTTTATAATTCTCATTTAACATGAGAATTACAATTTTCTTACACACCCTTCGATTTTCGTGCTGACATGGGTCCTACATATAATTTTTTCTAATACATGGGTCCCACATATTTTTTATCTCTACAACATGAGATTTCAATTATCCTTCAACATGAGAATTATAAAACTCTATATATATATATATATATATATATATATATATATATATATATATATATATATATTTGAGATATTAACCATTATATCATCGATTATGTTGAGAGAATAAAACAGTGGCAGAATCGGATGAAAGTACAAGGAGTAAAGCTATTAATTTATGCTAAAATGAAAATTTGTTTAAAAAAAAAAAAAAAAAAACATTTTGAAGAATTGGGTCTTCGTCTAAACTCATTACTTATTTTCAGATATCTTTTTGAATTCTTTCGATGAAATTCATCATGGTCTCCAAGCTCTTATCATCTGAAAAGGAAAAGAGAAAACTATTTATATCAAAACACAACATGAATGTAAACAGATAACAGAGATAAATCTATAGTAGCTTAGTGTCGCACCTAATCTTGGTATTGTGTGTCCTTTGGGGTGTTGAATCACCACGGGTTCAACACAGGATTCTAGTAGTTCATTCCCATACTGCCTCAAAAAATCAGTCTCCCCTGCAATAAGCATGAAATTTTCTCAGGGAAAGATGTCTTTTTTCCCCACTAACCAAACAGTACAATCAATTCTCAACCCATGTTTATTGTGAGATAAATTTCATGTCTGTATCTATAAGGATGTAATTACAGAACCTTTGCTTTGCAATTATTAAGATTACATTGAGTAATTTTCAGTAGCATATGGTTTCGACTTTTGGGTATGGTTACTTGGGAGACTTGAAAACATTTATTTTGATAATAACTCTAAATGATCTCCTGCTTTTTTCAATTAAAAAAGTACTATATTTTTACATGTAATGAGGTCATTTGGAATGCTTTAGAGCACGTAAGTTTTTTTTTTTTTTTTTTAATCTGGAGAACATAAATTTAGTGATGCTGGAGTCTATTATTTTTTATTTCAAATGAGGCTGGATAGAATAATAACTTAAAGGATTTATAATAGGAGGTTGGGTTTATAATAGAGCTGATGTCATAAATATAGATAGAAACAACTAATAGAATGACGATGACAGTGATAAAATAATTTTTTCCGTATTATAAGATATAGGATTCTTGACAATTTTATGTTTCTAACTTTTTCAGGAGTGTTCAGTGAGTGGTCCCTATCTATTATATATATATATATATATATATATATATATATATATATATATATATATATATATATATATATATGTAAAAGAACGTCTTCAAAAAAAAAAAAAAAAGATTTTTAGTCATCAAATGTAATACTACGGATGAAATTAATAATAATAAATAATAATAGTTACCTGCTTTATGTACATGTATCACTGTTTTCAAACTATGATTTATTATTAATAATTTTATAAAAAAAATTATGTCTTAACGAAAATGCCACGTAACATGTTAAAATAAATTACAAAACTAAATATCATTAAAAATAAATAAAACAAACCTAAAACATAAATTTTATGCTTTAAAGTTTAAATATGAGTTTTTTTATTATACTTTATAATAACAGAAGTACATTTAAGTGGATTATTTTGTCAAAAAAAAAAAATCCTATCATGAATTCCTATTTAAAATATCTTATAATTTTTTCTTAAAGCAAAACAAGCTAAACACAAAACTAAGAGTTAATTGTTTCTCAAAATGCACTGGGTGACATGGAGGGTGCACTGAGATTTCTTGGGTCGAGCTTATTGTTTCGGTTCCCAAAGAAAATCAAATCAAGTTAATTCAAACATAGATCAATTAAGAGGTAGGATATTCATATTATCAAATTTTTCTACTATCACTCCACTATTATTATCATTGGATTCAAAAGTTTTTCTTTTCTCTCTATTCATTTAACTTTTTCTCTAATCCAATAGTGATTAAAGTGATAGTGGAGTGGTAGTAAAAAATTTACTAGTGTGAATATCTTACCTCAATTAACTATCATTTAAGTTAAAACTTATAATTACATATATGAAATTTAAAAGAAACACCTCATTTCAGCAAAGACTCATTGATAATGGCAACTCATTTCAGCAAAACTTCTAAGAAGCAAAAAAAAAGGGCTAGAAAACAGCCCAATTCAAATAGACACACTATCAATCATTGTCAGATTGTGAATCATTGATGGGCTAGTTAGCAATTTGTGTTGTGGGCTTCCAATCCCAACAAAGAAAATTCCTTTTCTTTTATGGCGAATGAATAAATTCAAATTCTAGGTAAAAATTGCAAGAAGTGGAATAAATTAAAAGGAAGCAATGGACGTACCCAGAAAGTGGAGGGAGGCGCAGCCAATGGGGGAAGAATATGCTTTGTCAGCCACCGAAGGTGACCTAAGCTTTGCCCCTCCTATTATTATCAGGAATTTCACTTTTGGAACCTTCGTGAGTGCCACGCCCTGCACGCCATTCATATTTAATTTCTTAATAAACTCTAATCTCGAACAAGTAAATAAATTATTATTTATTGAAAGTTCATTAATTTATTTTTATATTTTCTTATAACAATATAACCATGTTAATAAATTTCATTAACATATTTTCATTAAATTTCTAAGTTTCCAGTTTAGCAAATACCTTCTCCTGAAGACCCGGCAACGCAGCCGATAAGATTGCCCCCTACTTTGTGAAATTCAAACCCTTCATCAGAATCAAATACTTGGCCAAAAGGAAATCTCAAATCATATAAAAATATACATCACATAAAAGATGCATTAATCCATTTAATAATTGGAATTATTGTATAAAAAATTTATAATGTGGGAGAAGCATGAATGCTGTAAATTATCCATCGCAAATAAACATAGGCAAATTTAATAAGAATTTACCTGTGAGAAACCAAGAAGACCATCAAAAGGTCCATGCTTGATCATGCAATCCTCAATGTATTGCAAGCACTCATCAAAGTTGGTGTACTCTGTAAACTCCTGTTGTACCATAAAAACATGAACGGTTAAGAAAGCGCATGTCGATGTCTAACCCAAATGAAGCATGGGTTGGAATACACGTATGGGGAAAAAGAAATCTTGAAGAGTTGAAAATAGAACCTTGTTGAACTGGAACCACTCGTAGTAAGGAGGATCAAAGAGGCCTTCAACCTCAGATTTGCCTTGGCAAGGAAAAGAGGCATCCACATAGACAAGATCGAGGTTGTCTAGCACGGATTGAGGCCACTTGTGTATCTGTTTCTTGAGTATCTCTGCGCTTGTTCGGAACCCATGAAGGCATAGGAACCTTGGTTTCCTCGTTTTGTTCTCGCCTTTGCTTCCCATCGTAACGAGCGAGGATGAAATAACAGAATATGAATGATTATTGAGGATGGAACTTCCGAGAGTACTGCAGGAGATTGTTTTGTACGAGAACGTGTGTGGTAGCATTGAATCCAATTTAAGGGACTCAGAGTCAGAGCCTTTTTTTTTTTTTTTCTTCTTCTTCTTTGCATATGTCTTTAATTAAATTCAATAACCTAACTCGAATAAATCTTTGGTACTGCTGTTGTAGAATAAAAGGTTTATTACATTCTACCAATGAAAATATTACATGTCAGTTAAATTATTATTTTTTCTGTCAATTTTTTTTTCTCATCTGATATATAATGCTCTCATTAATAAAATACACTGAATCTAAATACAACAATAATACCAAAGATTTATTCATTTACATCTCATCCGATTCTCGTATTCGATTTTGTCAGCTTTCCAATTTCCACGCGTGTATCAGACCAGAAAGCTCGCCGCCTACTCGCCGCCTACTCGAGCGAGGATGACATTGGCCGCGTGTAATGTAAGGGGGACGGTGCACCTAGTGTAATAAGTTTTGTTGATATAATTTTACTCTCCATCCTTTTATTTAATTTTGGTCCAACATCTTTCTATTTTTTTAATTAACATTATATATATTTTAATTAATACAGGGCCGAATGCCACTTCTTTTTAATTAATAAACAAAATGACCAATGGATACATGTCAATATTCAGTTAGAAAATCACACATAGCGGATATTCACTAACTGCACTTGAGCATTTGTGCGGTCTTATTAAACTTTGTCATTTTATAATATGAAAGTATTAAATATGAGAAATTATAATTATAATATTTTCATTTTCTACAATTAAATATAATATTTTTATTTTCTACAATTAATTTTGAACGCGACTTCCTTTATCCCACCTAACAAAATGTAATTTTTAGGTGACTGCACCAATGCATATATGCAGTCACATTACAAATTATTTTGTCATATATATATATATATATATATATATATATATATATAGAATAAAATTTCTGCAGCTACTGCAGATAAGTTATCTGCATTTACTCTCAAAACGACGTCGTTTTGGGATTGAAAAATTTAAAAATTATAATTATAAAGACTATAATAACCCTGAAATAAATTAAAATTACAAAAATGTCATGATTTTCGCCCCAAAACGACGTTGTATTAGGCTTACTACAGATAAGTTATCTGCAGTAACTGCATAAAAAGCAAACCCATATATATATAGGGAAAAATATTTGTCTACTCACCAGAGATAAAGTTATCTCCAGTGAGCTCGAAACGACGTCATTTTGGGTTATAAAATTAAAAAGTTATAATGATAAAGACTAATATAATCCTGCAATATATTATAATTATAAAAATACCTTGATTTTCACCCAAAAACGACGTCGTTTTGGGCTCACCGGAGATAACTTATCTCCATTGACTGGAGAAATCCGTTACCCATATATATATATATATATATATATATATAGGGGTTTATATTTCTGCAGCTGCTGTACGTGTATCAATCAAATATTTTCTATATATATACTTGAAAGCATTAAATGCAGGGAATCATAACCATACAAAGGATGAAAGCATTAAATGTGGGGAATCATAACCATACACCTATCGTTGTTGTACTTAAAGCGGCTACATAAATGATTTTATCATATATATATATATATATATATATGGGAAAAACATTTTTCAAGCTGCTTGAGATAAATCTATGTCCGGCACCCCAAAACTACGTCGTTTTGATTATTTATTTCCTTATATGTATTGATTCACCTTTGAATGGTTATGATTTTCTTTTTCTCTCTCTTCCTTTATCAACATAGATCTATCTTTATACCGTTATGATTTAGTTGCCGGAGATAACTTTATCTCTGGCAGCTTGAGAAATGATATGCCCTATATATATATATATATATATATATATATATATATATATATATATATATATAGGGGCAGGATCCTTTGACACCGGTCTCAAACTTTGAAACTTGACAGCAAATTCTAACCGTTGACTTCCGTCAATCAACAGTTATCATTTTCGCCAATCAAACTCATTATTAATGATTAATTCCAAATAAATGATAACCGTTGGTTGGCGAAAATCAACGATTAGGATTTGGTGTCAAATTTCAAAATTTGACACTAGTGTCAAAGGATCCTGCCCCATATATATATGTATATATATATATATATACATATAGGCAGGGTTTTTTTACACTAGTATAAGACTAATAAATCTTACACCACATCTCAACGTTGATGGACGAAAATCATCGGTTGGTATTTGTAGTATAATTAATGACTATTTAATATTAATTAATTCACATGACTTCCTAAATTATAACCGTTGGATGTACGAGAATCAACGGTTGAGATGTGGTGTAAGAATTATTAATATTATTCCGGTGTAAAATGATCATGATATATAAATATATATATATATATATATATATATATATATATAGGTAGATCATTTGACATCGGTGTCAAATTTAAAGTTTAACAACTCATTGGAGAGTTATTAGATCAAAAAAAGATCAATGATGTCACATCTTATATATTTCAAAATGATAACCGTTAATTAAAATAAGAGATAATTCTCTTTTTGTTTTTATTAGAAGAATGGGATGATTCTCTATAATTTAACCTTATCTTTGGATTGAGGGGAGAAAAGGGAAGAAAGTTTTTAAAGTTTCAAATCTTTTATCAATTGACTGAAAAGAAAAAAAAATAAAGGAACTAAAATAATAGGAATAAAAATTAAAAAAATTAGCGTCATCTTTTTTTTAATCTTTTCTCTCATTTTCTTCCATGTCATTAAAAAATTATTAGGGCCTCTTTGGATGGGTTTTTCTCTCTTCAAAAGTTGTTTTACTTCAGGAAAAAAAAAGCATGTATGGGAGAAATATGTTTGGACGTCTACTTTTAAAAAGAGTAAAAGTCATAAAAAAAGTTAAAAATCTTTTTTTTTAAATGAAAATTTTAGCTTCTAAAAATAACATAAGTTAAAACACAAATATTTTTTAAAAATTGAAATAACTTTAACTTTTATAAAAAGTACTTCTAAAATAAATAAAATATAAAAATATTTTTTTTGAAAACTCATCCAAACAATCACTTATTCTCATAGAAGTGAAACAGAGTACTTTTCTTATTATTGTGAATTTAAATTGGAATCAAGGAATGGGAACACCCATTTATCAAGTATATATTATTTTATTTTTTAAAAATTCCTGATATGAATTAAGAGAAATCAAATAAAGGAAATTCAAGAAAAAACAAAGTCAGGTATTGGATGAAGGAAATTCCTAAGATAGAAATTAAATAGAAACAAATTAGGGACAAAGTCAAGAAGAATATCAGAAACGTGTGTAAGGAAAAAAGTCCAATTTCGTTAATATGATGACTATTAAATGGTAATTAATCTGGTATTGAACAATATAAAGAAGGGAATAAATACCAATAATTTCCAGAATTCAATATTTGGATTACCATTTCAAAATCCAAATTAATGTTATTCATTAGTTTTTTAAAACAGTTCCTACTTTATACACGTTCAATGCTTTTTCTTATATAATTTGACGATATTCATTTTTTTTCTTACTAGTTCATTATTTTTCTTACCTAATAATGATTACATTTTTTTCCTCTAAATAATGATTACTGAGAAAACTCAGCTAGTTGTACAGAACCTGTGAATATGATATTAGTGTGTCACAGCATGTTTTTGCTCTTGCTGGAGCATGATAAATAGAATGCTATGATTTCACTTCAGTGAAAACTTGACCTACTCATATGTTTTTTTGGAAGATTTTAATCCGTAACCATGAGTGCATAAGCGTATGTTATCCCTCCCATAACGCTGCATGTGTACTTATTTAGTGTTGGCAATTTGTATTTCAAGACATACTTTTTTGTACAGATGGTAGCGAGGAGTTTGACCTTGAGTCAATTATATATAGCAATGGCGTTTACTTTGAAAATGGAGTTGACAGCTGCTTGCTTATTTTCACTGAAAAAAAAAAGGAAAAAAAAAGTACAGCTACTTGTGTTTAGAAGAGGCGAATCTTAACTACCGGGGGATAGATTTTGAAAGGCTATAAAATTTGAGATTCTTTATCTGTTAAGGTGAGGTTAAGGGGTAATCTAGATAATAGGTAGGAACATATTTAGGAAGAGGGTATAGCTGAAAAAGGAAACATTAGATAATTATATTACGTGATCAGTTAGGACTCATGGAGAGGCCCACAAAACCCGCTATTTGAGTAGAGCTTTTAATGGAAGCTTGCTGGTTTACAATTTAAGGTGGTTAGGTGGATTCAGATTATCATTTATTGCGAATTAATAATTAATTAATGAGTTTGATTTGAAAAATGATAACCGTTGATTGGCGGAAATCAACGGTTAAGATGTGGTCGTAACATTGTGCGTAACATTATTTGTGTGTCACAAATGTAATTCGCAAATAATGTTACGCACAATGTTACGACACACAATTGGCACACAAATAATGTTACGCACAATGTTACGACCACATCTTAACCGTTGATTTCCGCCAATCAACGATTATCATTTATTGCGAGTTAATAATTAATTAATGAGTTTGATTTGAAAAATGATAACCGTTAATTAAAATAAGAGATAATTCTCTTTTTGTTTTTATTAGAAGAATGGGATGATTCTCTATAATTTAACCTTATCTTTGGATTGAGGGGAGAAAAGGGAAGAAAGTTTTTAAAGTTTCAAATCTTTTATCAATTGACTGAAAAGAAAAAAAAAATAAAGGAACTAAAAAAATAGAAATAAAAAATTAAAAAAATTAGCGTCATCTTTTTTTTAATCTTTTCTCTCATTTTCTTCCATGTCATTAAAAAATTATTAGGGCCTCTTTGGATGGGTTTTTCTCTCTTCAAAAGTTGTTTTACTTCAGGAAAAAAAAAGCATGTATGGGAGAAATATGTTTGGACGTCTACTTTTAAAAAGAGTAAAAGTCATAAAAAAAGTTAAAAATCTTTTTTTTTAAATGAAAATTTTAGCTTCTAAAA